AATAATAATAATAATAATTAAAACATGTAAATAACTATTAAACCATTTAATATTATTATAATATTAATTTAAATATTCAGACTGTATATTTCTAATAAGGCTCATTAATCTTTTCGTTTTAGCTCCATTTATAATAACAAATCGATTTTATATTAACTAATAATATATATTATGCACATTTATATTATTATTATTATTATTATTAATTTGCACTACACATAATGCAAACGTGAATTAGATACAATTTTATAAAAAAAAAAAATTATACATAAATTCTTTTTTACAGAATTTAAATAATTATACATAAATCGGATGATTAAACAGTGAAATTATTTATTATGATTAAGGCAGTTACAGTTAAATTTATTTCCGGTTTAAAACCGGAAGTATGTTTTATATAAAAAAATATTTTATGTATTTTTTAAAATAAAACATTCAATATTAAGCGATGTATAGTTGTACCGGCGGGAATATTGAATGAGTGTAAAAAAAAAAAAAAAAAAATTTTAAGGTTTTCTCTACTACCCCCTTAAAACTCTCGAAGATGTGATTTTCTTATTTTTCAATTAAATAAATAAAAATAAATGCTATTTATTTAAAATGCCCCCGAACGAAAAAAATTTAAATACAAGGCGATCTGTTGTTTTTCACGACAAGCAATCATTTTCAAAATATCCATAAAAAAAAAAAATAAGAAAAAATTCTGATCATAAGTACATAAATTAATCTATTAATTATTTAAATTATATATATATATATATATATATATTTGGCACCAGATCAACAAATTATTAAATGAATAAATTAAATTATATATATATATATATAAATATTCTTCTTACACGACCCTGTACCAATTTTCATAACATAAAAATTATTTTAAAAAATTGCCAAATCAATTGCCAAATCCCCTCGTATATAATTAATAATTAAAAAGAAAAATAACATTTTTTTTTTTTTTTTTTTCAAAAAGCACTTTCTCTCTCCTAAGATTACAAAAGAGAGAGAGAGAGAGAGAGAGAGAGAGAGAGAGAGAGAGAGAGAGAGAGAGAGAGAGAGAGAGAGAGAGAGAGAGAGAGAGAAACTAATTAAAAGAGTTTCAATTGAGAAGCAAAACTCAGCTAGATACGCTTTGTATAGGTATGACCATGCTTTCGTCAATTTTTCTTAATTTTCTTATTCTTTTCCATTCTCCCGTTGAATAATTCATTTGAAAATGAGTTTCTACCATCATTGTCAAATATGTACCATCAGTCTGCAAAACGTTTTCTTGATTTTCACTCAGTTTAATCGTGACTATATTTCCCAAATGCGGACATGGATTTTCTATTCAAAACAAATAACAATTAATAACAAGTATATAAATGATAGTTTTTTTTTTTTTTTTTATACCTCTTGATCCAGCCATAAAACCTAATATAAGAGCCTTTTCAGGCCTGGTAACTTTATTAGCTACTCTAAACATTTCTTGGGCCTCCAACATTTGCTCTCTCTGTAAAAAAAAAAAAAAAAAAAAAAAAAAAAAAAAAAAAAGAAAAATTTTTTATGTTTTGTAAAAAAAAATTAAACGAGATTTAATAAAATGAAACCAACCGTCAACGATAGTCCTCTTCTGAGATTTGACTGTTGTTGATTAGGCACTGTTGTCACTAATGTAGGCTGAGCTATCCTATACTGCGTAACACCTTGTTGCCTTTGAATAATAACTTGCGCTGGAGTTCCATTTGGTGTCTGAACAGTCTGTAGAGGTGTCAAATCAGGTACGGGAGGTGTTGACTAAATTAAAAGTTTTTTTTTTTTAATTAATTAATTTTTTAATATATATATTTTTTTTTGCAGGAAATATTTTACAAATTTCTTACCTGACTGATAGCGGGACTAACGGGGGTCAAAGGTGTAAGCACGGATGCATTTGTTTGAATAACGGTGGCAGTTGAAATTTCCTGAATGGAAGACGGAGTCACCGCCGTGCTTGAGGCCACTGGAGTTGAAGGCGTAACGGGAGTAAGAGGAGGCATTGGAGTTGTTGATACTGTAAGTAAAAAAAAAAAAATTTTTTTAATATAAAAATAATAATAAAAAGTTTTGAAATATGATAAAATGTGCTTCTTACCAATTTCTCTAATAACGCTTTGGCCAGAAGCAACAGGCGTAGGTGGATTTAAAGAAGTTAATCCCACTGCATATTCTGGAGTAGCTGAAGATTCTGCAGCTTTCAATGCAGCTTCTTCTGAAGCCTTTTTAGCATCTTCTAATTCTAAAAATATTTTAAATTTGCATTTAAAAAATTGTACCGAAATACTCTCAATTCAAATTCTATAACCAAATTTTGCTTACCTTGCATTCTCTTTCTCTTTTTAGCTTGAGCATAACCCATGGGTTGCTCATTTATATCTAATAACTTAATACCTCCATCTTTTCTCTTCATGACACTTTTACCTAGTGGAGTTCTACTCATACTAGTATTTGTCAATGGAGGACTCCTAAATCCACCAGTTGGAACACGAGATGGAATTCCCTTTAATGGAGCTATAAAAAAAAATTTTTTTTTAAAAACATGTTTAATATTTCGATGGTGGATATCGATTTAAATAAGGTTGCTTGAAAAAATTTCATTTAAATTAATAATAATGTGATTTACTTACTAGTATCAGTTACTTTTCTAGGCATTCCTCTAGATCTTAGAGGTATTGTCGGTGCAGGACCTTTTTTAACACTATTCTGTACATCTGTTGATTTTTGAAGTAATTCAGCTCTAAGTGCAGCACTCTTTGGTTTTCTTTTTAATGTAAAATGTTTAACTTGTGCTGGTTGTTGCCCAACCAGAGACAATAAAGCTGGCTTACTAAGATAATGACATTCTAAGGGAAGCATTCCTAAATCAGCTTTTTTTTTGACTGAAATATAAATAAACCAAATTTATTTGTAAAATCGACAATCGACAAACGATAATTTTATTTTATAGTTTTAAATGAAATCTTTGAATTAGAGTACGAATATATATATTGACCATAAAGAGAAGTTTTCTTACCTAATTTTTTTAAATCATTTACTAAATCAGAAAAAATTCTTTTATTTTCTTCAATTTCTCTAATATCGGAATTGAGAGAACCAGAACCAGGTAAAGTTTTCATAATTTCTGCCAGCATAGAAACCCATGGCTCTGAATCCATTTGGGCTACCTCCAAAATTTCTTCCAATTCAACTCTCCACTAATGTAAAAAAAAAAAAAAAAAAAACATTTTTTAAAAAATAAAAACAAAAAAAAGAGCGAATTTTTCAATAAGAATATTTTGTTTGATTTTTATTTGTATTAAATACTTTGATTACAAATAATTTAATTACTTTTAAACAGATTTTTCTCTTATAGTTATTTTTTCTAATTAAACTGCACAAATATTCGTAATTCTCGTTGACGATAAAAATATAAAAACAAATTTTTAAAGAGAGAGAACGTATTTCAAAAAAATTTTGTTCAATGAAAAAGAAAGTCAAAATTTTAATAATAAACAAACCTCATCGACATTACGCCTTGGAATATGAAAGAAACTAAGTAAGAGTTTTAGTTTAACTTGCGTTTGTAAATCAGGAAAACAGTCTTTAATGTTCCTTAGAACTTCGGCGTTCAGTTGAGAGCATATTGAGCCGCCAGTCCATGAATCGTTAGACGTGCCGAGTTTATTGTGAAGCCATAACGATGTATCACTATCACGGACATTCGCCATTATAAGAACTCTAGTTTTTTATTAAGTCGCGAGGGTGCGCTTCTTAACGCAGAATTAATAAAAAACTCATTTCCGGTTTTTCGATTTTTGTAACCGACATTGTATAAACTCTTTTTGTAGATTGAATAAAATTTCAAAAAATTATACATAATCATTTAAAAAATGAATTGATTGAAAACTAAAACGTTATTAGTTAATAAGTGAAAATTTTTTAAAAATGTGTTTCGCATACAGCATAGTTTTTTTCGTCAGTTTCCGTTAATAAAAATTACAATGAGTATTTAATTTGATTTTTTTTTTTTTTTAAGTTAATTTTTCTAAAAACAGTTATTTGGTGTTATAAAAAATTATCAAAAGGTATTTTTCAATTTAAAAAAAAATGATTATTCATTATGATAAATTATTTCTTTACATTAGTACTTGTCTCTCATATATTCCGATATAAAATCGTTCTATTTTGATTTTTCAAAAATTAACGGTATCATATGGCTAAAGTTATCCGTCATGTTTCGTTGGTAAATAATTTAGAAAATTTTACTCGAGAAAAAAAAAATGAAAAAAAAAATTGAAATAATTGAAATTTGAAAATGAATATACATTAAAAACCAATTAGAAAAATACATATAACCCATGTCATCGAAAGTGGAAATCTGTAAAATCAATGTCATGGTATGTAATTAAATGTAAATACGAATTCATAAATATGTCAAGTCGTTCAATTAAAATCGTTTAAAAAAAAAAAATTAAAATAATTAATTTTTTTTGAATCAGGATGATAAAAATGAAACTGAGTCTTTGCGTCTCAGATTAAGAGAGGTGGAAGATGAAAATCAAGAACTCAGAGCTCAAAACATATTGCAAAATCGTACAATAATTGAAATGAGAAATGAAATATTTTTATTAAGAATTCAAATAAATGAAATGAATGATTCAAATCCTTTACTAAGGGAAAGAGTAAGAAATTTAAGTGAGCATATTACAACAAATTCAACGGGAGCCGGAAATGATTCAAACGTTAGTTTAATTACAACACCACCATTAATGGCTCCAGCTCATTCTCCAACTCTGATACCACCACCTCTTTCTTCAACTAGATACAGGATAAGTCCACGACAGGTAATTTTATTGTTTATTTTACTGTACCAATAACAACAAAAAGGTTGAATAAATTACTCTGATAGAAAACAGCACAATTTACATAAATTGAAAAAGTTGCTTAGGATAATGAAAATGTTTTGAATTGTAGGTGGGAGCCGGAGAAGCTATTACGACTCCTCTTGGAGTGTCTTTATCAAGTCCTCCTCGTCGTATAAAAAGAGATTCCAGACAAGGTTTCTATAGATCAACAAGAACACCTTACAGAAGGTTTGACGTACCTGAACCGGGGCCATCATCCGCAGCTCAATTTTTATCATCGAACAGACCTAATTATTTTGTAGGATTGAGAATAATTCCACAATTTCAAACGTCTTTCATTTGTGCACAAAATCAAGCACCATATTACAGTGATAGCGCATCAGATTCATCCGGTTCCGATGAAAATCCTCAAATTTTTAAAAAAATAAAAATGAAAGTTTTCAATGACGAACAACATTTTAAAAAAACAAACTCCTTATCACGAGATTTTGAAATTTTTAAAAACATAAAAAATTTTCAACCTAATAAAGTTCGTCAAACTATTTTTAGAAATTTTGCACTTCCCAACACGAGTGGAAAAATTTTTTTTTCAAGTACACGTGATAAAAAAAATCGGGAAAATGTAGGTTTGTTAGATTATACGTTACCATCGACAAGCACAAATCAATCGAATTTATTCAATCCAACAAATTCTAAAGGGATAAATGATCAAAATAAAGAAATAAACGGGATGAGAAATGGACATACTAAACTATCAGATGGACCGCAATACACTTTTCCAGCAAATCACGAGGGTCTCCATCACAGTACTTCACCTCCGGTTGTTGGACAAACAAACGAAAGCATTCGTTTGAGAAAATCAAAAAAGAATATACCATACTGCAGCACGATTTACACTCAGTCATCGCAAAAAGAAGATAAACACAGCAACAGCAACAAAAACAACAACAACAGCACCAACAACACATGCAACAAAATTAAAAAACCAAAAGAAGAAGAATTAAATTTTAATAATACATCAAATTTAAACAAATCAAAAGGTGAAATTCAATTAAATACAAGAATAAATAATGATTCTCTATCAAATTCAGAAGAAACAGTCAGACCTTCGAGTGGTAAACTATCAACAACAGTATTTGCCATTGAAATTTCTTCAGATCTTGAACAAGATGGTTTTCAGGGAGATGAAAGTTCGAATTGTATGACATCAAATGAAAATTCACTTGAAAAAATTAATTTGAGCGAATCGAATTTAGAAAAAAAATAAATATATACATAAATAAATATCATTTCGTATTCGATTTATTTAAAAAAAAAAATTCTTTTTAAATTTCAATTAAATTAGTACAGTTAGTTAAAACTATGCACGCCATTTTGAATTTTCAAAAGTTCGATTCCGTTTATTTTACATATACAAACGCAATATTTTTTACTACTCAAACATCAACAATTAAAATTAAAATTAATTTCTCACTCCGAAATTTATTTTTGTCATTTTAATTAATAAATTATATTTTTTCGATCGTGTTAATTAATATTAAGGTTAACGGAAAACGTTTTTCCCCCTGCCCTCCCCTCCCCATTTTTTTGTGTAATAAAAAATTAAAAATATTTGCCGTTGAGTAATTTAATTACATCGATGTTCAATGTTTGCATAATACTAATATGTAATTGACATTCAGAAATCTCCGCATTTCATAGAGTAATAAAAATTGAACCAATCAAATAATTCGTTGAGAAAATATTTGAATTTGATTCGCTCTATGGTTTTCTCGAACGAACATTCAGAACAAGTGTGCGAGTCGGTGAGCGTGTGAGCGTTTATGTGTTCTTGACAAAAAAAATTTATTCTTTTA